TTTTTCTGAATCACATGACTGAATCGGCTAAATGTTTGATGAAAGATCTAATGCTGAAATAATGCTAAATTATGTGTGGTGTAATAAATAAATATCGATTTTTGTAACTTAAACCAAATTTTGTCAAATCATATGACTGAATCTACTGAATATTAACCAAATGGTATTAGTGCCGAATGAAATGATTTTGACTAATGAATTTAATATATATAATCATTAAAATAATAAGTAAAATAAATACTAACCATTTTAATCATTTGATCTATTGCATTATGCTTGTTACTAGCTTTATATGGTTTTTTAACAGAATCTTTGTGTAAAGATTCATATGTTTCCATTGTAAAACCATTAATCGCCTCATGTTCTTTAATTGCTGTGACAATATGATAACACCAGTTGTGTAGCTTTAGTAATCGAAGCTCTGATGGAGAATATGATTTAAAGAGCTTTACAAACGATGTTACCCAACTCGTAATTAATTCTTACAAACACAATTAATTCATTACATTAATAATCAGACTTTAGTACCATAACTTTAAAAACTCATTAATCCATCATACCTCAAAAATATACAACTCTGATTCCAAAAAATGTTCCTGTCAACCGTATAAGTACATCTTATTCCAGCTATAATACATGCTAACTAATAGTTCATTGATCTTTTTGGCTTGATTTTCACTTACCGATTCTTTGTGATGCTTTTTGATTAATTCTTCAATGATGAAAAGAAACACCTTCATCATATTCCAAAAATCATCTGCCATAAACCGCTTAATATTTTTCAACCCATTTTTAAACAACTTGAGTTCAGAAAATCTTAGAATTTCAGCTAGATGATTATCAAATTTGTCAACTGCTACTTTACCACAATAATTCATAAGCAATTCTCTTGTATAATTCACTTGGTAATTGAACAAGCCCAAGTCAAGATGATGCATGCAGTTGGAAATTACTGCTGAATAAATGTTTAAATGACTAAGTAAATAAATATTATTAAGAAATCATTATAATTAATTCTTTTTATTGATTACGTGATACATATAGGTATTTTCAGAAGATGTTTTTCATATTATGTAAAAAGTATTATCGTGCAAAACCTTGTTCAACAATACTCTTCATACCTTCTGGTGTTCTCAGAATAATTTGTTCATTTTCAATTTTACATTATTCATGTTTTTGCTTTCTATTAAACACTGATGACACAAGTATTTACAATTGACAGAATTATACGTTAGAGTTACCGTGGCATTTTCTGGAAGATCTTCTAACATTACAGAAATAAACAGATAACACCATAGTAATTCATTGTTATCCATTTTAAGATCAATCCCATCAGCCTTATAATCAAGTATCGGGCATGTTAATATACTTAAAGCATATTGATAAAGGACACGTTTAGCCAATTAAAAGCCCTTAGAGAGTTGGTTTTTGCCTTCAATTGCAGAAAATATCCCAAAAGAACTTTTGTATCGGGTTTATTCCTAATCCAGCTAGGTATATTTTCCAAGATTAAATAAATGGGATGTTGGCTGATTTTATCCAACTGGTTGCATATCGTCACATCAGAATACATGATTATCAACAAGACTTTTGCTTTACTATTCATGATAAATTCTCTGACCTTCATGATTCAATAGCTTAAATTTAAATTTACAATGATAAAATATATTTTGATTTCTTAATAACTTCTTTATAGCATCAAAAATTTAATGGTAATAAAGGTAATATGTTTCTTCTTTATATACCATAATAGTGATTTTTTTAAAAGAAATATTCATCTAATCTAACAATTGACAACCCTTTTTTATAGACGTTGGTAAAATTACATCATCACGATAAATCTTTTTTGAAAAGTTTATATCGCTATTACATGCATCCGATAAGTTCCATTTGGTAAGTAACTCCATAAAATCTCTAAATTCATTGCTTGGAAATTCTTGTATGTCTGTTGTTGAATTACTAATATTAAGAGACTCAAGGATTAGACTTGTTTTAATGGGAAGCAATAAATACTCGATCTCGTCATTATCGATCATCTGCTATATATAGATGTTAATATAATATCACATCAAATAACTATATAATACGTTGATCTCCTACCTCTTCTTTAAGTTATTTTTCGTAATTAAACTCCTCCTCTTCTTCAAGTTGTTCGTCATAACTCAACTTCTCTTCTTCAAATTGTTCTTCGTAACCAAACTCCTCCTCTTCTTCTAGTTATTCACGGGTTTGTTCTACTTCTTCAGAAATTTTTTGTAAAGCTTTGTTAACTACTGCATTATTATAAACCTTTACATGATTTCATAATGAAGCATAACGACTAAACTCTCTTCCACAAGTTGAACATATATAACTTGGAATTTTTTTAATAAAATAAGATGTAGATTTAACTATTAAGTTAAATTAATGTGATGAATTTAAGGATTTTGAAACATTATGATGTTTAAATTGAATTGAATTGATTAATGATCAATTCACACCTCTTATCATTAAATTAATCAACGAGATTAATCACATTATCTAAAACATGCAAATAAAAAGAATCAAGAAATACTAATATCCAACATCTTTTTACTCTTTTTTTTTCACCTATCATATTTACCATAATGAGTACTATTTTGTCATTGTTAAATGATTACTACGAAAAGATCCACCCTGAAATTGAGACGAAAAGATAAAGAAAAAAGCAAAGTTAAGAAAAAGGAAGATTTTTACCATGTAAATAAATATAAATAATTTATAATATTTCTTTAAATATTTGCTTATAATTATATTTGTGTTATAGTATGCGATTAAAAAGCTTGCCTACGAAATATTTCACAAGTATAAACAATTATTTAAACAACAGATGAAAGAACGTTTTAAAGAAAAATTAGACAGTAATGAATATTGCGTGATTTTTTCCAGAAGTCTAATGAAAGAGGTTTAACTTTTGATGAGTTATAGAACAGAAAAATGTATTCCTCTATAAGTACTAGTGTTCCAATTTATATAACATTATATTAGTTAGTGTAATAATATGTTTAGTAAATTAGCTACTCATCACAGTCCGTTCAAAAAGAGGCTACTATGTAAGAAGAGTTAAAGAAAGTTTGTGGTCAACATTTGGTATAAATCGAATAAAGCCTTTTAAAGATACTTATACCAAACATCAGATGAAAGAGTGGAAGCAAAATAAAATGTTTGACAAGTATATGATGACTTATACAAGCCTATCGATCCTGAAGATGCGTAAATTGATACATATATTTCTCTAATAATTAAATCCATTTTTACGGCTGAAAAAGAATGTACGTAATTAAATGGGGTTTGAGTTCAATCATTTCTCAAGGTAATTTTTGATGAAAAACATCTTTTGGCAAAAATTGACTCTGATATAGTAAAAAATTGGACCAAAGTGATTACTGATACCGAAATGGTAAGTATACAGACTAAATTTATAATAGTATTTAAACTTAATTACTAATATTTAAATACTTTTTATTAGGACTCGGATGTACACGATCATTATTCTCTAGTATATTCGCCTTCTGATCAATTGGTGGATAATGATAGTAATAATAATATGTCATCAATAAATGACTAAATACGTGTTTATTATTTTTGTAGAATATTTAGATTTTATGTATTTTTCGTATTTTTTTTAATTCTTTTATATTTATATTTTGATTATTTCGATTGATGTATCAATTTATTCATTACTATTATAAATTTATTAATATATATATCGTATTTTTCAGCTAATATTATATAAGTAACTATGTAATATTACATGCGTTTTTTAACTAACTATACATGTTTTTCAACTAAAGTAATATTATTATATGTGTTTTCTAACTAGCGTTATCTGCCGTTGTTTACTATATACCTTTGCTTAATACTTAAATTGAGTTGCATAACACATTGTTGAATTTCATCAGTTGATATAGGGTTTGTTGCTTAACACATTTTGGCATTAAGCAACACATAGCGTTTGTCAACACATTAAATGCCTGCCAAAAACTTATTGATGTTAATACATACATATTTTGATTTATTAAGTCAAAGTTATAATGTAATAAAATATAATTTATAAAATAATAATTTAATTACCATAGAGAAATTTAATAGAATAGAACTTTTAACCATTCATTCATATGATAATTCTATAAAACAACATCAAAGTGATAAATCAATGATAAATTGTCATTTAGTTAATATAAAAGAATGTAATCTTAAAAGTTTAGGTGATTATCTAAAAGTTATTGAAATGATAATAGATATTCCTTCATTAAATACTTATCTTCAAGAAAATATAATACCAATTGTTGCTGATTTTC